ATATCGGTATGTTTAGTCAATAATACAAAGATTGATAAATACCGGTATGTTTGGTCAATAATACAAAGATTGATAAATACCGGTATGTTTGGTCAATAATACAAAGATTGATAAATACCGTTATTCTTGGTCATTAATACAAAGATTGATAAATACCGGTATTCTTGGTCATTAATACAAAGATTGATAAATACCGGTATTCTTGGTCAATAATACAAAGATTGATAAATGCCGGTATTCTTGGTCATTAATACAAAGATTGATAAATACCAGTATTCTTGGTCAATAACATAAAGATTGATAAATACCGGTATGTTTGGTCAATAATACAAAGATTGATAAATACTGCAAGTGACATATAAGATGTGTTATGAGGTATATACGTACTGTGCAAAAGGCAGCTCTAAATATTCAGTAATTCAGTTTTGTAGGTAAAATATTATTCCCAATTTCAATGTTTTCAAAGCATGTATCTAAAGAGGTTTGCGTTTTGTATGCTTTTAAAGTTATCTTTAACTAATTAGCATCATGAAACATTTGGATTTTTTTTGTTACGAAAGTAACCGGAATAATGGTCACTTTGAACTTCTGAGGGCGATGATATTTACCTTAGACATAGTTTATTTTGTAGCTACGTAAGTGTATATTTATTCTTTGTCGAAAATGTTATGCTAGCTAGCTGCGGTATCGTATTCATCGTGCACGCACGTGGCCTCCAAAGTCACGTGAAGAGTTAAACGGGGAATTCTGAAGAGAAGAAGAAACATCATTTAAATCATCCGTTCTCAAACTTGGTCGTGTTTCTTTTAAATCGTCCGTTCTCAAACTTGGTCGTGTTTCTTTTAAATCGTCCGTTCTCAAACTTGGTCGTGTTTCTTTTAAATCGTCCGTTCTCAAACTTGGTTATGTTTATTTTAAATAGTCCCTTCTCAAACTTGGTCGTGTTTCTTTTAAATAGTCCCTTCTCAAACTTGGTCGTGTTTCTTTTAAATAGTCCGTTCTCAAACTTGGTTGTGTTTCTTTTAAATAGTCCCTTCTCAAACTTGGTTGTGTTTCTTTTAAATCGTCCGTTCTCAAACTTGGTCGTGTTTCTTTTAAATCTTCCCTTCTCAAACTTGGTCGTGTTTCTTTTAAATAGTCCCTTCTCAAACTTGGTTATGTTTCTTTTAAATAGTCCCTTCTCAAACTTGGTTGTGTTTCTTTTAAATCGTCCGTTCTCAAACTTGGTCGTGTTTCTTTTAAATCGTCCGTTCTCAAACTTGGTTATGTTTATTTTAAATAGTCCCTTCTCAAACTTGGTTGTGTTTCTTTTAAATAGTCCGTTCTCAAACTTGGTTATGTTTCTTTTAAATAGTCCGTTCTCAAACTTGGTTGTGTTTCTTTTAAATAGTCCGTTCTCAAACTTGGTTATGTTTCTTTTAAATAG